TCCTATTTTACTGGAAGGGCTTGATAAAGCCATATTTTGGGGCTTATATTCAAATCCACCATTCATAAGCTAAGTGATCCTGGATGCATTCCTTAACATCTCTTTGCTTTAGTTTCCTCATATAAGAACTAGGAAAAACTGTATTATTGGGGTTGTACTGCACAGTTGAATAACTATTTCACAGGTTTGCTGCGAAGATTAATGAGCTAATCCCGTAATGCTCTTAGAATGTATCTGGCACCCTCAAAAAACATGAGTTGCAATTATTACTATTATTATACCAAAAGCTTGGCCAATTAGCCCTTGCTTCAAGACATAAATGGTACAACTAAAGCCAATAAACATGGAAAAGAACAAAATTTGGAATATATTGAAATGGAATCAAATTGCTATGAAAGAATAGTAACCAGATTATTTTCCAGTTGTAAAACACAGGTAACATTATTAAACTTTCCTTATAAATAATCCAACCAAGAATTTTAAGGTAGAAACAACAGTAAATTCAAATTAATGTTTTTTTCCCCTGAATATTTAAAGAATACTGAAAGAACTAAATTGATATTCACAAATCACTTTTAAAAGTGTTTTATTGTCATAAAAATATGTATTCTATATTCTACATCAGAAATATCAGATAACAGCTACATGACAAGCATTTGAATTAACTCCATCTTTTTAGAGATCCAACTCTTTCCTTTAAGCATATGAACATGACTCAAAATCCCATTAGTTGAGAATACAAACCATGTACATTGGTTGCCTCATATTTAAGTGCCTCACTCTGGACAATGATTCTAAAAGGAAGTGNCTTCTGCTGTAGAATCTAGTAAAATGGGTGAGTCAGGCCTCAAAGTTCTATCTGAGATCTTGGTAACTTTATCCACTGAGACCATGCAAAGAAAAATGAAATCAAAGCCATTTGGAGAATATGTTTACTTTAAAGCAAGTAACTTTCTGGCAAACATAAGCCACTTAGATATCTGAGGTCACCTGACAGTTTTATTTTTAACTTTATTTTGAACCATCCAATCTTACACACATTAAATAATTTTGGAGACCACTCTACCAGAGTTGCTAGTATGAAGAAGCATAGTTTTTCTATTCCTGAAATGGTACATGGAGGGGACATTTATCCACCTCCTGCAGAAAAGTCTTCCAGTCATTCCCATACAAATTAAAAAGAAAGGGTGCTAACTGCATCCCTCTGCTTAAAATGGTTAGTCTCTCAGATGTCTATGCCTATTCCTTTCTAGACATCTTATAATCTCTCACTTTGAAGCCCTAAATCTTCAAAATTAAGATTTGTACTGTCTTTGTTCTTTGCTTCTTTGCTTCTCCCCTTTCCACCTCTCAGCACTAACACCTTCCTCCTGCCCTATATCCATCCTGAGCCAGACTTACCTCCTGTCTGAGTGATGACTTGTATGTCACTTGAAAGAGGACCATCTCCAATTGAGGTAAAAGCCAAGACTTTGACAGAATATGTTTTCTGGGGCACTAAGTTGCCAATAGTAGTGATTTGGCTATCAGCTACATTGTGTTTCATCCAGTTGTTGACATGCTGAGTGGGATCCATTGTATAATAAACTCTGTATCCTTGGATCTGTCCATTTGGCTCCTCAGGTTCCTTCCACTGTACCAAAATGGTGGTCGAACTCAACATCCGTGCCTGGACATCCCTCGGGGCACTGGATGGCGCTTGCTCTGAGGTCTGCGTTAGCACAGGCTCACTGGGAGGCCCCCGCCCAATGTTATTGACAGCAACAACCCTGAATTCATAATCTGAGTAGGGACTTAGTCCAGCGACACTGTATCGTGTGGTCGCCACCCCATCAATTTCTTTATAAGGTTCCTCAGAATTTTTAGGTTTATGCTGAATGATGTAGTAAGAGACAGGCTCAGGGTTCCCAGAGTCCCAAGTCAGTGTGATGCTTGTAGCTGTGCTCTCAGTCACTACAGGAGTTCCTGGAGGTTTGGGTAAGGCTTGGGAGAAGAAAAAGATAATGAATACCCATCATCTCTATGATGATACAAGGATTGATAAAGTCGACTATTGGAATAACAGTATTATGTATCTACTGAAGACCTAATTAGATGAAATTATAGCAAAGGGTAGTTTTCTAATGGTCAAGAAGTACAGTAAAACACATAAGTGACACAAATCCTATTTTACTGGAAGGGCTTGATAAAGCCATATTTTGGGGCTTATATTCAAATCCACCATTCATAAGCTAAGTGATCCTGGATGCATTCCTTAACATCTCTTTGCTTTAGTTTCCTCATATAAGAACTAGGAAAAACTGTATTATTGGGGTTGTACTGCACAGTTGAATAACTATTTCACAGGTTTGCTGC